AGCATACGGGGTGGAATGAGCCTCTTCCAATATCTCATTTCTTATACTTTCATCTTTAGGTACACACAACCTTTCTCTAAAAGTTAGCACGTTATCTGGAGATACTTCAAACCCTATACATTTGTTTGAACCAACATCAGCCTTAATTTTTTGTAGGAATGTATCCTTATCATGTGTTTCCTTAATTCGATCCCGAAGAGTACGTTGTATCATAAATGCTTTTATTCTCACTGTAGCCTGAGTTGGCGGCGTGATGACTTCCAATCTCAGTTTCTCAAAGTCCTTTACCAAGTGTTCCTGCACCATGGGTAAAAGTGCTAACTGCGATCCAGTCTTCCTACTTAAGGCATCCGCGACTACGTTAGCCTTACTCGGATGGTAAAGAATTGTACAGTCGTAATCTTTCACTAACTCCAACCATCTCTTCTGTCTCATATTCAGTTCCTTTTGTACGAAGAAGTATTTGAGACTATTATGGTCTGTATATGTTTCACACTTCCCTCCATACAGATAATGATGCCATATTTTTAAAGCGTGAACTACCGCTAAAAGTTCTAAGTCATGCGTTGGATAATCCATACAGATAATGAGGCGTTGCTATAAATTACAAACCCATCCGAACCTTCAGGTATCATCAATATAGGAGTCGAAACTAATCTCTGCTTCAGTTCCTGAAAACATTTTTCACACTGTTCTGTCCACTGAAACTTTACACCCTTTCTAGTCAACTGAGTCATCGGACCTGCTATTTTTGAAAAACCCTCAATAAATCTCCGATAATATCTAGCCAACCCTAAGAAACTGCGAACCTCACCTACATTGGTCGTTCTATACCAATTATTTAATGCTTCCACTTTAACTGGGTCTATCTCAATTCCCTAGGCGGTAACTATGTGACCAAGGAAACCCACTTGATCGAGCCAAAATTTGAATTTCTTGAATTTGACATATAATCTCTCTTTCCTCAAAGTTTCGAGTACTACTCGGAGTTGTTTCTCATGCTGCTTCTTATCTTTAGAGTACACGAGTATGTCGTCAATAAATACTATGACGAACTGGTCTAAGTATTGATGGAACACGTGGTTCATTAGATCCATAAATATAGTTGGAGCATTAGTCAAACCAAA